CTTCTCTTCACTTATTTAAAAACATAACTTTATATAGTTGATAACAACTTTATCAAAATTTCTGTGAAATGGGACTACTTGATTTCTACAGTGTTTTTGTCCTTTTTTCCTTAGTGAAACCTAAGAGCATTTAAAGAAGGCTGACTTCATAGAAAAGAGCAACAAGCTCTTCAGAAAAACATGGTGACTTGATTCTTTTCCTTGGTAGAATATTTCTACTATTTTCGGAAATCAGGATGGATATAGCTTTCTAGTTATATAACTAAATTTTCTAATTTTTTTTTTGAAGGGAAAGATTCGCCCTAAGCTAATATCTGTTGCCAATTTTCCCCTTTTTTTTCCTCCTCCCTAAAGCCCTAGTGCATGGTTATATATCCTAGTTGTAAGTCCTTCTAGTTCTGTGTGAGTCGCCACCACAGCATGGTCACTGAAAGACGGGTGGTGTGGTTCCACACCCGGGAACCAAACCCAGGCCACCGAAGTGGTGAGAGCACCAAACTTTAACCACCAGACCATCAAGGCTGGCTCTCTACTTTTTTATATAATCGCCCTGCTGAATCAGCTTGACCCTGCCTGTTTCAGAGACAATGGAGCTATCCGATAAATAATCCACATTTAGCACATGATAAAAATAAGGGTGTGCTTTTATTGTTTTTATTCGTCTTCCTCACTTAATTTCTTGTTTCATTTTTTTCCTCCACCATTGAACAGAGGAGCCAGCATACAATGTTAACCAAGATTTATTGAATTAATGAAGTAAATCTTTAATTTTGCATCATTTAATTTACTTTGGTGCAAATCATTTGCTTCTTGATAGGACTGTAAACAGAATTATCCACAGTCCTATTAGAGCTAGATGTGCTGTTCTGACTACAGAGTTTTGATATGTACCAATGACGTTTCTTAAATTAAAGTAAAAGATTGCTTGGCATATGCACGCATGTGTCCAATATACTCACACATGTGTGCATGCGCCATTTATCATCTGGAGTGTAAGCATAAGGAGTTGAATCACACCACTGAAATTTATTGATGTGAAGTGACACAAAATTTTACTAAAATAAGGTAGCTTGGAGCATAAATATTCTCATTCAATAAGGTCTTCTAATACAACCTAGCTTCTGATCCTTGAATCTCTTTTTCAATAAACCTGTTTAAATGTCTGTATAGCCTCAGCTTATCTACTCAACGCTGGGGAACTTACTACCTTAAAAGCAGGGCATAGCTATCCAGAAAGTTTATTTATTAGAAACTTGAAGCATTGAAGCGTTGAAGCCTACCTCCTTCTAGGTTCTTAGAGCATCCTTGGATTTGTGTAAAAACTCTGGTATATAGCAAATTCTCAAGGAAAAGTGATATTCGTAATGATGATGATGATGATGATGATAATGACAGTATCTCTGGATTTACCGTTAATGCAGCCTAAATTTACATATTGCCTTTGATCAGATTAATGTTTGCAACAACTAAATCCTTAGGATTTTATTCATTCATGCTAAGCCTATCTTATTATCGTGCAGTGAGTTTTGGGTTAAAATGTATATTTGTGTCTCTTCGATTTCAATTAGGATCCAGACTGTCAAATTCCTTACTATGCCTCACCATGCAATGCGATGGCTTTCCCTGTTGTCCCAACCATCCCTGAGTTCCATTATAATGTCTAAGATGCTTCCACCACATCTGGGCATTCCACTGGAGGCCTCGCCTCAGTGACAGAGACCCATACCCAGAGAGGCAGCATGCACTCTGCAGTATGCCTTGGAGGCTCTGCTGAGCTGGGAGCTCCTCCATTTCAAGGACAGAGTTGAGTCAGAAAAGAGTAAATTAATGGTGTAATATCCTATGAAATCTTAAAACTTCATGAGACTTTGCATTCTATTTAAAGTATATCTATGTTTTATAATAATTCCAACACTTAAATTTCCTCCCCCCACATTTTCAAGCAAAATTTTAACTTTAGGAAGATGCCTTGGGATGCTCTTCAATCTTCCTCCGCCTCCCGTCTCCCCTGCTGGAAACTTGTAACTGAGCTCGAGCAGCCCTGGAGGGTCAGGACAGATGTGTGGTGGTTGGCTGATTACTGGCGTGGAGACCTTAAACAAGCTTCAGTTCCCTTACACCCTAAAGGGGTACAATAACAGCTCCTCTTCTCACGATCAGTGTGACGTGCTTCTAAAGCATCCAGTCGAGGATTTGACATGTGGTATTAGTTCCCACTGCCTTTCCCTTCAGGTAGAATTAGTCAAACAGTATTAATCCATCTGTAATTTTTAACATTATACAGCCCACATGTTACAGTCTTTTACTCCGTGGTAGAAACAACATCTAGAGCATTCCCTTGATTGGCCAATCTTTTAAAAATAAAAGAGTAATAACTCTTGTTTCAACAAATGACAGCCTCTGATGTTTCTGACTCTGGACATTGAGATAGCTATATGTTGCCAAATATTACTGTTCCAAGTTGTACATGACTTAAAAGAAGATGATTAAAAAACAGATTGTTTGATCTATAAGTATATGATTTTGAGTCATGAAAGAGATAATATAAAAGACATTGAATATTGAGTTCTAAGATTTAAATACTGGGAATTGTGGGACCATTAATTAATAGGTGACAAATTTGGAAACTCAGTCAGATGACACATTTGTACACACTCATCTAGGGTGGTTTTCTACCACTATGTTGAGATTAGTGGGATAACATCCCCGGAGTTTGAGCTAGTCTACAGGGAAGTCTGTAACCCATCACCCACAGTCATTCTTACCTATTTTCATGTGTTAAAAACATCTGGAAATGCCATGGTTATGTTGCACACATGATGGTCAACTTTCAAGGGATTCACATCAGGAAAAAATAATCAAGAAATCAGAGCTATGATCTTTTCCTTTTATCTATTTATTAGTTTTATCTGTTTGAGAATAGAAAAGCATATTTTATAGTTTAAGATATTCCCCATTAGATTCTTATGACTTTCCTCAAGCCGACTTCACTTAGTCGTCTAAACCTCAACTAATTTCTCTCCTAGAAAAACCGAAGCCACAAAGCAGGGGCTCCTCTATGCCCATTCCCTCCCACCCCAAGATGCTACCGGCCTTTGGACACATATTTATCACCTTACCCAGGACCGTCTGCAGTGGGAGGCACACCCTCCACTCTACTCTGGATTCCACACCCTCTTCCTTCCTCAGCAACTTCTTTCTCTTCAAAATCCCCCACTACTTTCATTTTAGTCTTTTATCCAGTCTTTATGGGCTTCCATCTCAGCATATAAGCATTCTGAAGACTCTCCCACTTCCCACCCAGCTGCTCGACTGCTTTACTTCTGCCCTTCGCAGCCAAATTGAGGAGACAGAAGTCCTCACAGACCCACTCCATACCACCAGCTGCAGTCTGTGTCCACCCCACACACCACCCATTTCCTTCTTTCTGTGATCACTTTTCTGTTACTTTCAATCTTAAAAATATGTTATCCTTTTGTTTTGATGACTCTGATTTCTTTTAATTGTCCTCCTCCCTTCCTGAACATTTAATTCTTTCTTCACCCCTAAAAGTTTACAGTCTCCTTCTGGGTGAGCTCATCCACTCACGTGGTTTTAGTCATCTGCATGTTGATGACTTCCAGATCTTATTTTCTTGTCTTTCTGAATTTCAGATCGTTATAGCCAATTATTTCTTGGAAGTCCACTTGAACTTTAACAAGCAGTTCAAAGTCAACATGACTAACAGAAAATGTAAGACTTTCTTTCTCAAAATATGTATTTCTCCCCTTGAGAATATTCTGTGGCTGAGTTAACCTACTATCTATCCTGTTTCCCCAGACAGAATCTTGAAAACCATCATTAACGCGTCTCTTCTCTCTTCCCTCCGTATTCAGTCTGTCCTCTCATCCTGCCAATTCGGCATCCTCGATGCCTCTCTATCTCTTCCTCTTTTCTTCACCACTGCTGATCTCTCACTGGATCACCTTGCACCCTGAGTTGCCTCATCTCTTTCCAGGTGATCTTTCACTGGACTACCAGAATGTTCTTTCTGAAACGCCAATCTGATCATGCCATTTCTTTGACTGCCCATCACTTTCAAGACATAATTTAAGCTCTTTTGCAAGATGTACAAAACTCTAGCTACTTCTCCAACCTCATGAATCTCTGCTCCTCTCACCTTAGGCTCCAATTTTGCTGATATACCTGGGTTCCTCATATATGTCATGTGCAGTCAATCCTGTGTGCTTTTTTACGTGTTGCTAACTATTCCAGAGATGCTCTTAAGTCCTGACTTTGCTTGGAAAATTCTTAATTCAAGTGTCAACCCTTGGAATGGAAGCCTCCTCCTCCTCCACAGACTTTCCTCATCATCCAATCTGAATTCGGTCCCCTTCCTGCACACTTACGAACACCTTGTGTTCATCTTTATTATTCTACTTCCATACTATACTCTAGCTCCATCTTTTCTTGTCTCTACCCCAGGGGACATTATTTCGCTGTTGTTGAGCTTCCAGAGATGAGCCCTGTATCTTTATATCCTCACCTGCAGTATTGTGTACTTGGTAGATGATTCCTATGTGTTTGTTGAACGAAAGGAACCAATCAATGAATTAATCAGCCACCTCATAATTAAAAGATATCGACAAGAAGAAATAATAAATTACTCTAAATTAAAAATCTTTAATACAAATATTAATTACTACAAAGCATACGGTAGGACCTGCCAAATTTCTATATGAAATACGTAAAACATTGTGACCTTCTCCTTTCAGTAGGAAGGGTGCAGCTAAGGTGAGAAATGGATGAAACAGTGTAATATGTTCTGGTACAGCAAGAACATTTTTTTCCTTCCTGAAACATCACATGCTATTATGTACCAAAGCCTCGTAAACACATGAGTACACAATGTCCAGGTGATTCCCATTATTCTGGAGACCAAATATGGCCGAAGTGACTTTTAACCACTGGAGTTTGACTACAGGCCAAGCCATAATGCCATGTGTTTGTTATCCTAACAGGTATTTGAACCAGACGCTACAAGAAGATCTGTCAACAGCAGAGCATTCTCTAAACAGGGAGAAATTCACTGTTTTGAAACAAGCCCTGAACGTAGTTGGCTTCAGTAACTTGGTGAGTCATATCATAAACGTTTCACTGAGAAAACCAGCCTTCTACGAATTTATAAAAGTTGTTCATTCAAAAACATTTACTGAGTTCCTATTAAATTCCGGATATTGTTGCAAACACTCATGATTCAGCAGAGAACAAGCCCCAATCTCCGCCTCCTAGAGTTTATATTCTAGAGGGGACATAGACATAAACAGTGGGCTCAGGGTCACAGGTACTATGAAGACAAATAGTGACGATAGGAGGGGCCACTGTTTGCTGTTTTCAAGAGGGTGGTCACAGAGACCTTTTCCTAAAGGACCCATGTGAGCAAAACAGATCAAAGAACCCCACACTGACCAACTCCAGAGAAAACTGGCAGATCTGAAGGAACTGTTTACCGCTAAGAATCACTGTTAAAACTAATCTAATCACCTTATTAAAATATATTCCTGAACAATATAACCCTTTGTTTATCCTTAAAGAATCACCAACTACCTGCAAGCATTATGAAGTTGAAAAGTACAATTTAAAATGTTTAAACCTCTGCTGTCCAATAGAAATTTCTGTGATCATAGAAATGTTCTGGGTCTACGCTGTACCATATGGTAGCCACTAGCCACGTGTGGCAACTGGGCACTTGAATGTGGCTAGTGAGGCTGTGGAAATGGATTTTTAATTTTTCTTGGTTTTAATAAACTTAAATAGACCTGTGTGGTTAGTGGTTACTGAATTGAACAGCACAGGTCCGGTAAATAAGAGACGTGAAATGATCTAAGCTGGGAGACCTCTCAGCATTCCCACAAATCTCTCTTTCACTTCTGCATCCTCTCTCTTCCCCCCTCATTCAATATGGTGTTGTTTTGAATTACAGCCAATTCCTCATTAGCAATGGATATAAGATCATGTGAGTAACTTTGATATGCCAGTAGTTCAGGAACCCAGATTTAGTCAAATATCTCAATATGCTTCGTTTCTTTTTCTTAAACCAATAAGTTGATAGATTTGGGTCTTTCTTTTTTTCCCTTGCCCACATTGATGTGGCTACTGGGGCAGCGGGTGGGTGGGAATGGATGGGAAGGTGGCAAACACAGAGGATTGAGGAGATGGGGACTCACCCTTCACCCTAAGTGACTTAGCTCTGGGCATTTTGCTCCGCTCCACCCTCAGCCCACTGAGAGGGTGGAGTTCTAGGAATGTGCAATCATATGGTATCTTGTGTTTTTTTTTTTTTTTTTGCTCTGATTCTCCAATCTCTGTCTTTCTGTCTTTTATTAATGTCTACCCATTTGAACTTTTCTGTCTTTGCACTTGCTACTGTTGTCCTTTTTGTCATTTTTTTCCCATTCCTCCATGCCTGAAATTTCTGCTTCCTTCTAGGAAACTGGGAAGTAGAGTAGGGTAAGGAACCATTCTACCAAAGTACCAGTTGCTTGGAAAGGGTTTTAAAAATCCATGATTGACCTGAAAGGCAAGGCGAGCAAAATATACATTCTACCTAAGGTAGCTAATAGAAAATCTAACAGCCTTTTTGGTAAAAGAAATATGTACATTCTAACAAAAGACATGGAGGTAATCACTTATCTTGATCCTTTGGGGTGACTGGGATGGTGACAATTTAGTTCACTTAAGAGGGATAGATTATGTCCAATAAGATTGGAAGGAAGGTATTTCTGGGCTGGTGAGGCCCTTGGATCAAGACTTGTACGTGATTGTTGTCCTGGGAGGTCTGTTCATAACGGTGCCTCCACCTCCGCCCTCCATCAACACCGCCAGCAGGACGGCCGGGGATTGTTGCTCAGGTGGGCACAGAAGAGCAGCCCTGCCCTCTGCTCACAAAGCAGTTTGTTTTTACCTCTGTCATAGTATTCACCACATTGTCATTCATATTAAGGACAGTTTTCACAGTTCTGTCTCCACCGCTGCACTGTAAGATCCTTGAGGATGGAACAAGTCTTCCTGGCTGTGTATCCAGAAGTACCTATCTCATAGGGTGCTAGAAGATTTAATAAGGAGTTACTGGATTTATTCAAAAGGGGGGAAAATGTTGTCAAGTAGTGTAAGAGATAAAATATTATTCAAACAAGCATAAATTTGAAGCACTAATTTGTGATTTAGGGGTTACCCAAAACATTTTTAAGTAATGCCACAATCATAGAGTGTTATACCTGAAAATTGTAGAGATCATCCTTTTCAATGCTCTTATTTTAAAGATAGTAAAATCATACCTTATAATGAAAACTAGAGGTTCTGCAGGAAATTCATGGAAGTCTCAATGACCATATTGTTTCAACTGTATTTTTATAAAGCAAATAACAGTTGTTCTTAGTAAAAATTCCACAAGCAGGAACTTTTTATTCCCAAATTATGTATTAGGAAAATGAGAATTTAAAAGGTTATATCACTTGCCCTATATGGAACTTAACCAATTTTACTACTGATATCATCATACTAAATATTTGTGATTCTAGAGGAGTATACTTTTTAACTTACCGCTTTTTCTTGACTTTTCTTTCTTGGCACAAAATGACTGTCCAAAACCAAATTTAAGGTCTAATTTCTTTCTTTTTTAAAAAATTATTTTACTGAGGTCATATTGGCTTATAACATTGTGTAAATTTCATGTGTACATCATTATATTTCAGTTTCTGTGTAGACTGCATTGTGTTCACCACCAATAGTCTAGTTTTTATCCATCACCATACATATGTGCCCCTTTACCCTTTTCACCCTCCCCCCACCCCCTTCTCCTCTGGCAACCACCAATCTGTTCTCCTTATGTGAGAACAGTATGCTCGTTTGTTTGTTTATCTTCTACATATGATTGAAATCATATGGTATTTGTCTTTCTCTGACTTATTTTGCTTAGCATAATACCCTCAAGGTCCATCCATGTTGTTGCAAATGGCACGATTTTGCCTTTTTTATGGCTGAGTAGTATTCCAATGTATGTATATATACCACCTCTTCTTTATCCATTTATCCCTTGATGGGCACTTGAGTTGCTTCCACATCTTTGCTATCGTGAACAATGCTGCAGTGAACGTAGGGGTGCATAAATCTTTTTGAATTATTGATTTCATGTTCTTTGGATAAATACCCAGTAGTGCAGTAGATTGATCATATGGTATTTCTATTTTTAATTTTTTGAGAAGTCTTCATACTGTTTTCCATAGCAGCTGTACGAGGTTGCATTTCCACCAGCAGTGCATGAGAGTTCTCTTTTCTCTGCATCCTCTCCAACACTTGTTATTTCTTGTCTTGTTCATTATAGCCATTCTTATGGGCATGAGGTGATATCTCATTGTAGTTTTGATTTGCATTTCCCTCATAGTTAATGATGTTGAACATCTTTTCATGTGCCTGTTGGCCATCTATATATCCTCTTTGGAAAAATGTCTATTTATATCTTCTGCCCACTTTTTGGTTGGGTTGTTCATTTTTTTGTTGTTGAATTGTACGAGTTCTTTATGTATTTTGGAAATTAACCCCTTGTCGGTAAATGATTTGGAAATATTTTCTTCCAGTTTGTCTCATTTTGTTGATGGTTTCCTTTGCTGTGCAGAAGCTTCTAATTTCTTTCTTTATGCTGAGTTCCAGATTCTCTGATATTCTTTCAGCAAACATTCTCATACTTCCTGCTACTTTCCACTCAAAGATAGCTCTTGCCAATATCCATTTTTTTCTGTTGTCCTTAAAATACCTTAAAAAAAAAAACAATTAACATCTTGTTTATCTAGGCATAGTTGTTTGTATTACACCTCCCTTAATTTGCCAGCAGAAGTGAAAAATTCTATAATTGTAACATCAGTTTATCTCATGAGAGAGATAAGTGGATGATGGAAACCATCACATACGTTCTCTAATGAAGCAGACACAGCAGCTGTGACGTCTGTGTTAGCCCTGGGAGGACACATGTGAAGTCTGACCTCACAAATGACGTCCAGGCAGTCTGACCATCATCACACAATGATTCACTTTTCATTATGACAATTACCTAGAAACTGTTAATTTATATCAGAACATCACTTCCTTACTCTCTTTTGTTTGAGGAACAGAACAACTGATTTAGAGGAAATGTGCATTGAATTATGAGATTTTGATTTTGAGCTGGAGATTGGTAGTTCTCTTTTCTAACATTTGGTATCTGAAAAATCACAGCCTCACTAATGGGGCGCACATCAGTTTTTTAACCTACTTTTAGGTTTTTGAAGGATTTGTCTTTTAATCTTTCTTGTAAGCCATCCTATTCATCTTCTCTATTTGTAAAATGCGTAGGAGGTGGAGAATCTGTTTGTGATTCTAGCAGCGATATTACACATCGGAGACGTTCGGTTCACTGCTCTGACTGAGGCCGACTCTGCGTTCGTTTCTGACCTCCAGCTTCTGGGACAAGGTCAGTGGAACAGACCTTTTAACGTTCATCTCATGGATGTGCAGTTTTGCAGATCTGCCAGTAGATGGAGACACAGTACAGAAAAGCCAAGTGGCATAAACTCTTCCGGAGCAGAATTCAGTGAGAGCGGTGGGGAAAAAAAGAGCTGTATCCACTTTGTTCTTCCTTCTTATAAATGGTTATGGAAATGAATAACAAGATGTGCATTTATGTTCTCATGCTGCCCACCACGTTAACAGCGTTGATTCTTCAGCACATTCTTGGGTTTATTTATATTGTTCTAAGTATTCTCCGCCCCCACCCCCGCCACCCGATATATTTTCGGGGCATGTTATTAGCTGAACGTTTTAAACAGAATATACTTACTTCCCTTCAAAGATCTTGCCAAAAATCTCTCTCTTCTTTGAAGTTGCCTTGTTAGTCACCGCCGGATTTTTTTCAAAATACCTTAAAACCACAGACTGTCAATGACCAGCATATCTTCACCTCATATCAAAGTAATTTAACCAAGGACTGGGAAAAAACATGCAGGGCCATGTGTATGGGCAAGGAGTGTGGGCAAGGAGGGAAAAAGCCCTCTTTTTATTTAATGCAGGAGCCCCACGAGCTCATTGACCATTTAATTACTAAAGCTATTTCTCTAGTTGAATTTGACAATTAAGGTGGTAGTTTAGTTTTCTTTAATACACACTTTTTCTAATGGGTCTATATAAACTTGTAAATTATAATCATGAAATACAATGTTCTCACTGTCAAAAAATATATACTAACTTTATGTTTTCAATGCTGCTTTAATTTTAGTGGCTGGATGGTTACAAGTATCAGCTGATGAACTGGTGTCTGCTTTAACAACCGATAGCCAATATTTTAAAGGTAAGTGTTTCTACACTCTGACTTTCACCTTTGCACAATTTGTGGTCTTCTTTGAAATATGGAAAATAAATACAACCTCACCTTTCCCCACCTAGTGAAGCTATTTCTATGAATTGAATGCCAAATGAGAAAAGCATTATGAACTCATTTGGTCACTTGATATGACTCTAATTGTAAACTCTTTATACTCTTGAGAGACCATTTTGATTAACTGGTCACCCTTTTCTAGCTAATCAGTCATTTTAGACAAATAAAATCATCAATCTGAGAGGATTTATTCAACTAAAACATTGGTCCCTTGCGTCTGTGGTGCCGTGCTGCCCTCTTCAACAAAGAGCGTCCTTTTCCCTCTACCTCATCCGTCATAATCATAGCTGCCATTTATTGGGCACTTATGAACTGATGGGAATTGTGCCAAGTGCCATAAACGTTGGAATTTTTAAATTCTCACAAATCGCTATGAAGCGGGCATAACTATTTCCATTTAAACAGATGAGAAAACTAAGATTCAAAGAGGTTAAGTAACTTTGAATATCAAATCGCTAGCAAATGGCATGTTTGGAGTTAGAATCTAATGCTACTTGGCTCCCAAGATGCATCCCTATCCTATGCACATCTCTACTCAATGGGCAAGGAGGGTGGTTTTCCTACATGCTCTTCAGTTATTCACTGTAAATCCTTGTCTTACCAACCTTCTTCTTTATTGTAATTTTGAAGACTCACCATCTATCTGATCTTTTTTCTTGAAATCACCACTATTCTTGCCTGCTGTTTCTATTGGACCTACTTGCAGGTGTGTGGTTTGTCATTTCTGCCTCATCTCTAGAGTTCTCTTCCGTGTGCCTGAACTTCATGAATCCCCCATCATCCACTCAGCTGCCCGAAAGTCACTCTTGATGCCTCTTGCTCCTTCTGCGTTGAGTAGATCAGACACCCGCCAGCTCTACTCCATAAATCTCTCTCATTCTCACCGCCTTCTCGTCACTTCCATCGCCCCTGCCTTAATTATCATTCCTTCCCTAGATTATGGCAAGAACATCCTCATTAATCTTTTTCTGGCCTTATCTCATTTTACCTTTTTTCCGCACTGCTTCAGGAATAATCTTTCTGAAGTGCAAATATGATTTTCCTCCATGGATAACAATCTTTCAAAGATATTCCAACTCCTTTAGAGTAAATCTCATCACTTTAGGATCGCATAGGGGGTCCTTTATTATTCGAGCCATACCTATCTTTTATGCTTCATTCTTAGCCATTTTCCCATCACTGCCTTTGCATCCAACCACATTACATTTCTTGAGGTTCTCCAAATGCATTATGATATCTCATGACTTTTTAAAGAACAGTTGAACTCAGCATTAATATCCATAATTTAATATATGCAGGTCTTTTTGTTTACACTGCCCTCAACTCCTTACTCACCCGCCCTGTCCGTGACCCATTAAAACCCTTCAATCTTCTTGACTCTAGAGACCTCAATTGGAATATCATGAATGGCACACCTGCTTTCACTGCCACCGTGTGTTGTTGATCCTGATGGCCTTGAACTTATAGCTCCCTGACTCTTCATTACCTGCTGTTTTTGTTTTTTCCTTTTATCTCAGCCTGTCTCAGAAGCAGTTCTCCCTTATCTGTACCTCCACTAAATGACAACTGACTCAACCCTCATTTCACATGGTCATCATCCTATTACTTAACTCCCTGCTCAGCCTGAGTTGCAATGGTTAGCCAGGTTGGCCAAGGCCATAGAATATGAATACTAGATTCCCATTTCCTCTTGACTCTCTAGCATAAATGCTGTCATAAGTTCAACTCCAAATCATCCTCACATATTTTTTCCTTGGTTTCTTCTCTAGTCTATTCTCTCCTAAGTATCTTATCACTCAAGATTTCAACCACCATCTCTTTGATAATAACATAAAAATTTCCACCTTAAGTCTTGATCTTGTTCCCAAACTCCAGACTCACGTTTTGGTTAGCTAAACCATTTCTTTGAAAATATTTAAAATATGACTAATTTTCCAGATGGTCAGGTTTAGCCAATGCCTTGGGGATGATTCAATATCTAAGCTAGTGAGCTGTTATCAGAAAACTTTTTAAGAGGGCCCTACAAAGAGTTGGTTCCCCAACTGAAAGGAAATTACACAGCCTGCTTGAGGTTAAAAGCTGTGGTCAACATTTGTAGCAAATAAAATTGCAATGTATACGGCACTCATGTGAGGGAAACATTTTATGTAATAACTGACAGAGACCTCATTTATTATAGCCACAATATATTTGTTAACATCTTTTGGTGTATATGGATGTGTGAGGATAAGTAGGACGTGCAGTTTTGTTTGCATCTAAATGAAGGAAACCTTGTTCTTATGCCTCCTCTCCTTTCTACTATTCCAGGAGATATGATCACACGACGACACACTATAGAGATGGCTGAATTTTACCGGGATCTCCTGGCCAAGTCCCTGTACAGTCGTTTGTTTAGCTTTTTGGTGAATACTGTGAATTGTTGCCTCCACAGTCAAGATGAGCACAGCAGGTAGGATGGATGGACCCTGGTCCTCAATGTTATTCCTATCATGGCCGACTTAAAAAGGCTCACCTCTTAAAGATGCTTCACAGTGCAGACTGACCCATAAGTTAAACTATCATTATAGCATTTCATTTTAACAAGGTGATTTTACTTGTGAGTTTTATTGACTATTTTTTAGAGATTTAGACCCCTCTTCCACACATACACACACACACACACATTGATGAATTAATCAAATCATCTCTCATGCATAGAAATGCAAATGTATTCTCTCTGGACTGGAGGTATATATGGCTTTTTGAGTACCAAGGAGTATAAAAAATTTATAAATCAGGAAGAAGACAGTCCAAGAATATCTAAAGCACTTAAGTTTGTTGAGAAGCCCATGTCTCTCTTAGAACCAATTTGATGATGTGTTTCAGATCAGTAATTCTTTCTGTTTTCTTCACCTATTTTGTCGATTATTTGATGAAGGGTCTCTATGGTAATTGTTTTGACATGTGGCCTTAATCATCTTTAAGCAGTAGCTTTTCAGGGCTATTTGATCATCTAAAAATTATAGATCTCCATAGCGTCTTGTGAATGGAAAACTTTGTTAATATTCTTGTCACTAATAATGACCTTGAGCAAGCCATTGAAAGCAAAATCGCATCCAGAAGTCTTCACACGTATGCTTGTCTTTGAATGAAACCTTTTGAGAATTTCTTTGTTGTCCGTATAGAATTCTTCACCAAATTCCTGAAAATTGCTGCCTTTAGAGGTTTCTTGGAAAACATTAGAACTAACATGTATTAATGGGAAAATTTTTAAATAAATATAGACATCTCAGAAGATCTCAAGGACAAAGAGATACTATAATTCTCATTAAAATATACACATAAAATCTCACAGCACATTGATCAGCATATTCAATATACAGTCTGTTTTCTGAGGGTAGGTATAGCATTATCTATATTTTAGAAGATATACTTTAGTATTTGCTATGGTGAAGATTCTTGATTTTCTTATTATTTCTTATTATCAGTTAATTTGTGATTTTTCTTTAAATATTAAGAATATTCACAGAATGACACTAATATGCTAAATCTACCACATTAATATTGTATAAAATTATTGGCAGGTCTGCTGAAGTTGACGGTAAAAAAATTAATATATAAATCTAGCTGCACATACAAACTTTTAGAAAATTTCCAGTTGACATTTAAATCTTACAGAGCCTTAACTTGATATAATTGGAAAAACTTATGCATAGTCTAGATTTTTGACTAAACACACACATAGAAAAAAATACAAACATAAACCTTGGGAAACACATTATTTCCCTTTCAGTGAGAATATTGCCACTGTGTCAATGTATAAATTCATGATGTTAGTCTCATCTTTTAAAATTCTTTACTAAGTAAATGAATAAGGGTAAGTATTAACGGGAAACTAGAAGTGAGTTGATGTATTATAAGTTTAAATTCTGAGAGACAGTATTTTTATTTGAGTTGTAACTCCCATTTTTTCCTCTCTATTTCTCCCGTAGGTCACCCAAACCTGAATTTAAATTCTAAAATAACGCAAAGAAAGGTTATGTTTGCAATATTTCTAACTCATCAAAATTCATGGAAAGCTTAAGGTTTTGTAGATTTACAGACCCATTTCCTAAGTCATAGAAAGGTCTCAAAATTTGGATAAACTTAGAATAGGCTTTTATTGCTTATGAATTCTTACTTTTTTCAAAATTTTGTAATCATGTCAAAAAAGGATTATTTTAAAAATATATATCCCTATGGTTTAGTTTGGCAGGCACTCTTGATGTTGATATGAATTATTTTTCACATTATATTTTTTTTGTAAATTTTGGAGGAGAGAATAAATGTGAATAAGATATACACTAACAAGTTATAAAGGGATAACAAGTGAAATTGAAGCAGATGAAATATTTGTTCTTGGAATGCTGCATTCATTTCCTGGATTTAAAAAGATTTTACTTTTTTATATCTAGATTCCAAATAGGGTCACTTCTAAATGAAAATCTTGGCATATAATGCAAGAGAAGCTGACCATTAGTTAATTAAGATGAGCAAAAGCGTTGGCCGTGTTGGCCTAGCCAGAATCGAGTCAGTAAGGTTAATGTGTGGACCTCTACCAGCCTGCTGCCCATCGTGGTCTTGGTTTCTGTGAAGGCTGCCTGTGCTGATGCCGCAGGCTGGAGACCAACCAGCAAGGCAGCTTTTATTCAAGGGCCACACTTAGTGGTCAGGGCGCTGCAGAAATTGAAATACACTAAAACTTTATTTATGACGCTTAGTTGAGAATGATTTGGTACAATCAGGTAAAAGGAATAATGATAATAATAATAATATAATGCCTTCTATTTGTTTAAAAGTTTATTGTTCACAAAGTGTGTGCATATTAATTACCTTCAGAAGAAATCTTGTTCAACAGCTAAAAACGACATGTTTTATTGTTGAAGAAACAACGACTCTAGGAAACTGAAGCGTGGACCGTAGGCTGCTCCCTCAGTCTCCCTTTCAATGTTCTTCCCTTGGAGAATCTCCATGAGAATCAGTTATAGTGTTAACTATTTTCTGAGCCTTTTTTTTCCTAAACTATAATCTTCTGACTTCTAAAGCAAAGGGTGTTGTATATCCTTTAACTTTGTGTAACAATGTCACCACTATAAAGCATTTTTATAATCTACTGTAACGCAAGCACAGTTCCGCTCTTTCTGACCTCACCTTGGCCTCCTGGCTCCCTGACAGATTGCCAGCCGCCTCCGCGGCACTCTTGGTCTGTCTCGTCCCCATCTCCTCACCTCCTTTGCTGCCATTACCTTCCCACCGCCTCCAATACCCACGTGTTCAACTTTGCTCAATGCTTGCATGGGCTTTTGGGGGGATTACCCAATAGCACTCACGTGTCTGATTCTTAATCAGTTGAGAAATAAGACCGAGGGTAAGGCGCATGGGAGCCAATATACCAATTCCCTGAGTGATACAGCAGCCACAAGAGGACACAGCTTTACTCAGAGGGAGCTGCTTCTGACTACTGCTCTCAGAGTTAGACTGTCTTGCACAAGTCCCAGTCAGCACTGAGGTGGGCAGGGCCCGTGCACAGCCTGGAGGAGCAGGGGTGGCCTCCATCTCTGTGAGAGCCAGCAAAGGGCAGCTCTGGGCCAGCCTGCCCCGTCTCCTCCCACACTCCCCTGTGGAACAGGTCACCCTAGCAGGGGCCAGGACAGTTACAGCTGGTGGAGCTTGTCTCCATGAAAGGAAACCCCCAGACTGCGAATGAGCATCTCCACCTAACAAATGCTATTTAGAGTCAACAGACTTGAAAGACAAAGGCCCATCAGATGCAAGAAAGTATGTAGGCTTTGGGATTCCTATTCTGAGTGATTTGGGTCTTTTTTCCTAGTGTTTCCAGAAAGTAGAGCTGAACCCATCCATACCCGGGATACCTTCGTAGTTTATTTAACTTGCTATCAGTTCACATTAAATTGATAATATTTAACTATTAAAATATGATTTTAAATAATATCAAATCATTTCTAGAGAAAAACTAATAAAGCGGTTAAGTTTGATCTGATTTTACTAGTATTTTTTGGCCCCAACTCCTCTGTGAATTGTCAGCTGACACCTAATGATGAGCAGAGGCGTCACCATACTCCATGTTTAAACCATGCGGAGGTCCATGCACAGATTCCTGTAACTTCGTATGTGGGAAATTGGCAGCCACTAAGGACACTGGAGGCGCTGACCTCCTCTTCCTTTCTTCACTGGCCCATGTTTCCTCAGTGAATCCAGAGGTGTGCTGTCCAGGCCCTTCCTGGGGATACAGCCCATCTCCCCAAGGAGACATCGTCCCTCGGACGTTCCATACATTGCAGTCAGACAACGTTGGGGTTGTGGTCTGATCACTCCTTTCAGGAATCGTTAAGATGATTGCCAGCATGTCTTCTCCTCACTGAGTTAGCCTATTTGATCAGGAAAGAGCAATATCCTGGGCTTTACGATTTCCCTGCTTCCCAAGCGAATTCAATCACCTGTCTGTCTGTGAGAGCAGATATAATGTAGGAACTGCAGGACTGGCAACTCCTTTCTCTCTATCAAAGCACCTCTCGATAGCTCTAAATACGATCCTTTCCAGGGTCTAGGCACTGTGTCTCAGAACATCACCTTAAAAACAAATTTTGTGACATGGAGAGGATTCTGAAAAATTTTCCTTAATGTCTCTACTCTTCCATGGTTTATTTTGCCTCATTATTATAGAAATAATTTTGTGATATTGGTTGGCTGTTTTTAATATAACATTCAAAATGGAAAGGCTTGCTCTTAAGTATTTGTTGTTCTTTTCCTTAATAAACTAAACAAACCCTTGAAAAAGGTAGTTTAGGGAGAGATTAAATTTACCTTTGATCTGAAAAGGCAGCATTATGAACAAGATCATGTTGGCCACGAGAAAAGTGTTTTTTTGTTGTTGTTGCATCAACCTTATAAGTAGGATTGTGCACAACTTTTCAAAAGTGTAATGGTATTATTACTTATTTTGAAGAAACCACTATATTAATCAAGTATGATTTGCAGTGTGATGAAAACACGTATTTTTCTGTTTCACTTTCCTTTAAAATGTGTTCAATGAGGATAGTATTTTTTTGGCCCTGGGAGAAAACATATGTTGGTCCCAAGACTTTTTTATTAGGTTTTAAATACATTACAATTCTATGAATCTTTAAGTCCCTACATATCCAGTATTTGAACAGAGATTGTCCAAAGGTAAGAGTTCCCCTCTGTCTCCCCCAGTTAGGCCTGTGGTGGCAGCGGACTGCCTTCCAGGAAGGGAGTGAGGTGGGCTTCTGCACTCAGCTTGCAGACTGTGCCTTCAGCTCCCGTGGGAAATGGGGGCAGGAACAACAAAGAGAGGGATGTTTCAGCGTCGTGATACCCGGAGGCTTTCCCGGGGAGGAAAAGAGCCATCCCGACCCTTTCTCTCGGCTCCCTCGTGGCTCCCTCGTGGAT